TTTTTATTGTATTTTGCTATCATTAGTTACATTTTTTTTCCTTAAAAGAAAAATATTTTTAATTTTTAATTCTCAGAGATGAGATATTTTCCCGCAGTAAAAGTATCTTATATGTTGACCCGGATAACCAAGTATCATCATACCAAATTTCCTCAAAATCTGTCCAGTCGTTTTCTGGTGATGCGTTTCCAGAGTGACAGACAGACAGACAAGTAGACAAAAATTCTAAAAAATATAAATGCAGCCTCTGCATCGAAAATAATCATTATTTCAATAAGATTTTCCAAAAATGTACAAATTCGACTCGGTTAGAATTTTATTATGTGTATAGATTATATGTACTAGTATAGATATGCAATATGTGCGCTGCTTGATTAAACGTTCAGTGCTAATTCTATAAGATACTAGCAGTACCCGCGGCTTAGGCCGCGTACAAACTTCCGAACGTTAACAAAATTCACAGGATCACCCGCTGGGCTAATCTGAAGATTACCTAAAAATTTCATCAAAAGAGATCCAGCTGTTTTTGAGTCCATAGGAAACATACATACACATATCGATTTTTATTTTATTTAATCAACAAATTAAATTTATTTATTGCTCGGAAAATGGGAATCTTTTATGAAAATATAGTGACACACAAACTGCAGCGCCAGCTACTGGATCCATTTGTGAATTCTAACCTTGCAGGGACCCACTCGAACATATACAAAAAATGTCATCAAAACCGTCCCTGGCGCTTAGGAGATGATCAGTGGCACACCGACTACAGCGCCACCTACTGGGTCCAATTGTGTTTTCAAACCATTCAAAATTCAAACCAGGAGCCCATTGAAATAAACACACAAATTTCATCCAGTCATTTAGGAGGAGTAGGTTAACAAACACACGTACAGAAGAATTATATATATATATTAATAAGAGACATTTTACTTAACTAAAAAGTTAAAAATACGCGTTTTTTTTGTGTTAATTAAAACCCCAATAAAGGCAAAAGTGTTCAATGGCATGTGCCCCCCGACCTATCTCTATACTCTACTTGTAGAATCAGGTCAGTAGGAGTGGGGAATGTCACGCCTATATCGATTTTCCAATTAATATGTGGCTTGTTATATAAGTTTTACATACAAATACTCGTAAATAAAATTGAAGTGTCTGTTTGTAAAGTCAAAATAACAGCTTTTTACTAAATGTATATGTAAGTAGGTACATATATATACGATAAAAAAAAACAATTTTTAAAATGTGTGATGTTTTCTTCCGGCTAATCTCGGGACTTACGGGATTTTCACTGGCAGATAGCTGATACTATAAGGACTACTTTTATTAAAGAAAAAGAATTAGGTTGCTGCGCCAAAAATTAACATCCATGAAATTGTTAACAAAGTCCTCGTACCTAGGGACAGACTCGAGCGAAGCGAGTATAAGTCGCTATTTAAACATAAAGATTTAGTAGGTCTATATATTCCGTAAGTAGTTTTTTTACAGTGACAAAACATATATGACCGCGCCATTTTAAATTGTACTTTCGCGTAACCTGCAGTAGAACATTCTGTAACGCTTTGATTAGTAATGTCAGCTACTTTATTATTATCTGTAATTACTTATTCCTAGAACAATGGCCGACGCGAACGTCATCAGATTATAGATTTACTTTAGAGACAATATGCGGGGAAAGCTACACATTTCGATTTAATTATGTTCTTCCTAACACTTATAGGTAGGTAACTTAGATAGATTAAACATAGATTTGATTTAAAACAATTGAAATGATATGTTTTATAAATTACCTTTATTCTAGGTATTTTTCCTGTATACATTTTTCAAATCAATGTTAAAAAAACTTTATATTGAACTTTTGCCTTTATTCAGACTTGATATAATTGCACCTAGATATATTAAAATTACATATATATTAAAATTACATGTACCTATGTATAGTAAAAAAATACATTTTAGTGCCTGGAAGTCGGTTTTTTTTTAAGTTTTTATATTTCTATTTTTAATGTAGACATAATAAGCAGGTATTTTTTAAGAACAAAGTTTTTTAATAACATATTCGATTAAGCAATTTATTTAAAAAAATAATTTAATGTTGATTTTTAAAAAACCGATTTCGATAAAATTTAAATGGGACCACCTGGGAAGTACCTATACCCTTTGAAACAAAAAAAATCCAAACCGGTTCAGGAGTCTTCGAGTAATCGATGAACATACATAAAAGCAGTAGAGAAAGAAACAAAAAAGATTCCGACGAATTGAGAACCTGCTCCTTTTTGGAAGTCGGTATAAATTATAAAAAATACATTATTTAATTTATATTATGCAGAAAACCACGTTACACTTGTAATCAATTTACAATATGAAACATATGGTACAGTAATAAGGATCTAAGCGAATGCACATTGCAAGACCCACGCAGCGTTGTACGTACAATGTGCATATGTACCTACGTATGACATGCAACATGCATCTAGGAAACTATAAACAGATTTTATTGCACTGCAACAAGTGAAGACAAAGGGAACTATCTCTAAATCCGTACATACCATTTAAGGCGAGAACCAATGGAGTGAATGCGGTGCGTTGAAATAGATGGACATTTTGTGGGGGTAGAAGTGTCTATTTTAAATGCATTTTGAAAATGTCTAAAAAACATGACCTCTTTTACAGCATTTTCACGCGAAAATAAGACATAGGAACTTAATAATTAGTTCAGGCGCATTGATACAATTTTCTAGCCTGCCTTCCGTTTATTTGAGCTATTAGAAATATTTTTTTATATTTTACACTAGTTCTTTCCTCGTTATATCATATCTACATATAATAATTCCCATACTCTAAACTATCAAAAGGTAGTTTACTGTTCTAGATAATAGGTATTTACTATAGCCGGCTAATTCATTTTCTATTTTCCGTCATAAGCATATTATTTTCATACCATCTAAAAATCGCTTTGTTATCTAATTACACCTATCCACCCTGTAATTGGTAACATTAACTGGACAAGTAGACGCCATTAACGTGGGAAAGGGGTTAAAGTTTATTTGCTTTTATAATAAAAATTTTGAAAGTCCCCAAAGTAGATGATATCGTTTTATTCTTTAACAAATACCACCATCCTATAATTTTCTAATCAAATAGACGTCAGCGACAAATAAAGAATGTCGAGCAATTGGTTCGGAGAATCCAAGGGCTTTAAATTGATGTTGTTTTAAGTGAACTTTATCAATTTGTACTTATTTAAATTTGTGAACATCTTATAGTTCTAATACCTACTATTTATTAAACGGCAATGAATTTTACCTTATATTTATTGAGAGTTTCATATGTCTACTATATCATATGTGAGACAGACTGGGAGGATATGAAGGCACACAAATTCGATGCTTACGAACTTTCCTTATTAGATTACCTACCTCAGTGAAAAATGTTCGCTATATTATATTATCACATATTGGCTTCCCAGAACTGATGCCGTGGTGGCGAATGCAATTACGGCAGAAATTCCTGCAATTCGGGAAGATAATTCCGTCGTGCGACTGCCTCAGGATACATGTTTCCTACTTCGCTCGGAGAGCTTCTCATAAAAGGCGCAAATGTAACCCACGGAAATTTAGTAGTAATGAGCATGAGTGCTCTCGAATGACTAGGGATCACTGTCATTTCGAAATCAATCGTAAAGTGTCTTTAAATCAATCAATTACAAATCAACCAGGGGAAGGCCCCTGAATGCTGATTGTCTCACTCTCAGGAACAGTGTTGTAGTGAACTTTGTTCCCTCTGATTAAGCATATTGTGTTAGTGTGGGATCCAGGGACACAAAGAATGAGTCTCCCACTTTATTTGGTATTGTTAAAGATCTTACACTCACAGACGATCTAGAACCCTTAAGATAGAGCTCTGTGTTTTTACCGTTTGTATAAAGGTGATCTTTTGATTTGAAGCCACCGTCGCGTTTTTACAATCGCACCTTTTGCTGACGTGTTGGATGTCTTATGTCCTTTTCATCCTACAAGTGTACGTGCAATCATTGATTTTTGTCTCGTATATGCAATTTATGGAATAATTTGCTTACTGAAATGTTTCTGAAATTGAAGTCTTTCGGAGACCTTCTTGGTCATCGTGGCTTCATGTCTCATACAGAATAGCATTTAATTTCTAAAAATATATATATGTGACAATTACCTAGTTCTTTAACAGTAAGTACCTACTCGCAGGTTTAAAATTATCTGAAGAAAGAATATTATTACTAGAAGGAATGGAACCTATTTAACCATTATTAACACCTAAAGGATGCAAGTGGCTGTTGCCAAGTTCATTTTTTTTAGTTTAAATCTCTCTAACATGAAACACTACAAGTCACAAGAGGCAGCGAGAAAGTTGTAATAATTCTTAATTTATAAAAAACTTCAACCTTTATTACAGAGTATTTACCATTGTTTAAAATTGACACACAATTTAAAAAATATTTATTACTATATAAAAAAGGATAACAAATATCGTCACCAGTAACCAATTTGATTGAAGCTGTTTATTAGTTAATACCTTTTTATATACTAGTACTTATAATATTTAATTTAGATTATAATATTGCTTCAAAAACTGAGTTAATATACGATCGTATCATGTTCTTCTGTAAAGAAGAACACGAAACGTTATTTTTAAAATAAAAAATGCAATGTAGCTCAAAATGCGTGAATCCTAACTCTGCCCTTTTGACAGCTACAACTGACAACGTCAAAAAAATAACCAATTGTTTATTGTGAATGTGAATTTTCAATTTTGTTTCTGCAAAATATGAGGAAAATGCTTAACCAAAATGGAGAGAATAATATGAAGTATAAGTTCATGTATAGTCTCAATCAAAACCTGAGGTATATATTCCAGATACATCATAAGTTTTAAAAATAATAGATTAATGCAACTACTGTTAAAGTGTTACACACCACAAAGTTTACGTTTGTTAGTTGTTTTGAAAACAAGCAGAATTAATTAATATGGCTGAATATACGATAAAAAAGGCTTTATTTGTGTGTCTTGGTAAGACGAAAAAATGATAATATTATACTTTAGTCTATTTAAGTACATATACGATTGAATCCCTAGAAATTAGTAATATTTATTATATTACGTCATATTGTGTCGTTTACATATTACATGTAATAAATAATAATCAAAGTAATATAATATAAGATGAAAAATACAAAATTAAATACTTTTTGCTAAGTTACAATAAGAAGTTTTGACAATAGGTAACAGTTGTCGCTCCCCAATTGCTGAGGGAGTGTTTAAACACACAGTAAATAAACTGGGCAAGGGGCATGAATGGGAGATAGACAGTGCAGCAATAGCCGACTGGAATGTTGGATACCCTCCTTCTGATAGAGCAACTAATGTTATGAGGAAGCATGGAATAAGATACAATGGTGTGGGCAGGCAGGTAATGTTTAAAGGATCAATGTTTTGAAAGTTTCTTGAATATAAATTAATACAAAATATATCTTTAATTATGTATAAACTTACTTACAACTTTTTTTTAGATAACAACTGAAGATTTCAATAATTTTGATTACATTTTTGGAATGGACGAACAAAACATAAGAAACCTCCACCATTTAGCACCTACAGAGCCAAAAGCAAAAATATTACTTCTTGGTGATTTCGACCCTGAAGGAGAAAGAATCATCAGGGATCCATATTTTGTAATATATTTATTTTTGTAGATTCAATTTAACTACATTTAATTTGAATTTGAACTGGAATTTAGACAATTGAATTTTAAAATTATATGAAATCGAATTAAGTAACGGTGAAGGAAAATAGTGTCTGAGAAGACCTAGCAAGTTTTCAAAAGATATGTGAAGTCCACCAGTGGAGTAAAAGTTCACTTGGCCATTGTGGCGGACTATGGCCTCATACACCTTGTATTAAAGGGAGGCAAGTGCCCTGAAGTGGGATCTCAAAAAAGGGCTGAATAGATAGGCAGAAACTAAGTAAAAAATAAAAAACTAAACACTACTAACTACACCATCAAAGAAACTCAGTGTTATGAATTCCTGACTCACACTGCCTTGTGCTATAACTCATAAGTAATGCGTTCGAAGTCAATGATAGGTAAAAAGCTGTATTGAAAATTCAAATTTCCAAATAGTTATAGATATTTTAAGTTAAGTACAATGTCTACAGACATATTAGAAGTTATAAGTCCACATTGTTATTCAATTTCATATTAAATGTGTGGCATGCTTTGAATCCATTAACAAAAGAATTGATTGATATAAAATATGACATGCGACAAGGGACATATTTAGGGGATTTAATAATTAATTGGATGATTGGAGTGGCTAGTTGAATATAGTAGGATACTACCGACATACTTTAGATTCGATTCAATTACAATGTATTTTTTTTTATTTTTAGGATAATGACGATAGAGGCTTTGAAAAATGTTACCAACAAGCAACGAGAAGCTCTAAAGGGTTCTTGGAGCAACTAGAAAAAGGCAGCATCAAATAAACTGGGATGAAATGAATGCATACTTAAACATTTATAATTTTGCAACATTTTTATCATAGATTTAATGACTTTTATTTATTACTTTACTAGCGGCTCACCCTCGCTTCGCTCGGGTTCGTCGCTAGGTACGTTTTAAATAGATATAAAAAGAAAAAATCTTTCTTTCTCACATTTTAATTATATGTTTTAATACTTACCTATTCCGGACTAAGAGAAATCCAAAAATTAAAATATCATAAAAATTGGAACGCGGTCGAACGGGATAAAAAGTATCCTATGTCCTTCTCCTGGCTCTAAACTACCTCCCTGCCAATTTTCAGCTAAATCGGTTCAGCCGTTCTTGAGTTATAAGCGAAGTAACTAACACGACTTTCTTTTATATATATAGATTAAAGAGATATATATAGTTTTATAATGTTATTATTCAGCCTTTGTTATTGAAAACTTGACATTTGAACTTCTGAAAAGAACAAAATTGTAACTCATAATTTAAATATAGAAACTAATGCCTCACATATTTAAATTCCAATTTTATAAATAACTAGCAGAACCCGCGGCTTCGCTCGCGCTAAAACTACAATAAAACTTGGAAACTCGAGGTTTCATACAAACTTTCATACCATATTTTACCCCCTTATGGGATGAATTTCGAGAAATGCTTAAACACGTATTTATTTAATTGTATTGAAAAGTACCAATTTTCAAGTAATTCTGATCACAAATATTTTTTTGTTGTATTATAACGTGTTTCCCCGTGGGTATGGGATAATCTACCGCGGTTAAAAAGTAGAGTACTTTGTTTGTCCTTCTTTCACGTCGAAAAGGCTTGGCGGATTGGCGTGATTTTTTGTGTGAAGATAGTTGGAGGGCTGGAGATATATATAGCATAGGCTACTTTTTATCGTGGGAGAATAACTCACTCAAACTAAGGCACGTTATAATACAACAAAAAAAAATGTTATTATCAGAATTACTTGAAACTTGGTATTAATGCTGTTCAATGCAATTAAAGGAATTCGTGTTAAGCATTCTTCGAAACCCAACCCATAAGGGGGTAAAATAGATACAATATTGTATGAGACCTACCTTTGTAGAGTTCTTTTTTAGAGTTTAAGCTCGAGCGAAGCCGCGGGTTCTGCTAGTATGTAATATATAGTCATCTATTCCATATTAACCGTTAAAACATACTTAGGGACGAACCCAAAGGAAGTGAGTAAGAGAGTGAGTGAAACGTAGGTAAAGTCCCAGAGGAATGCTAGTCGGAATAGTTGTTACTTCATCCTGAAACGGCTTGACCGATTTTGATGAAATTCGATACAAAGATAGACCTGGAGTAGCTACATAGGCTACTGTTAGGTACATAGGAACGCACCTGAGTGTAGGTGCTAGCTAAAAAGTGGGTACATGAAATTGTAAAGCCTATAGGTACAAACAAGAAATAGGTAAATATTTCCACTTATAATTTAGTTTAAAAACATCCATAACTCACAAGTCATAGAAATAGAATGTGACATGATTAGTTGAAACAACGGATAAATATTGAATAATATCCTATATGAGGGTCGTGCAACGTATTTAAAATAAATTAATAAACCAGAGTGAAACTGTAAAAGTAATCAGTAGGTATACTTATATATCTACAATCAAATGTGAAACGTCTAACCACTAACGTGTCTGCAGATATCCCTAGAGATAGAAAGACTAATCTAAGATCTATAATAATTATGTGAAATTCCTATTGAAAGTATAGAAAACCACAGATGAATAGGTTATTGAATGCGTTGTAAATTATAATAATTATTAGTAATCTATACAGATAAATAAAATTAAAGTGTCTGTTTGTAATGTCAAAATAACAGCTTTTTACTAAATTTATATAAATTTATATACGGTTATATATTGGTACTTTTAATAAAAATAAAATTTTAAAAATTTTTGTCTGTCTGTTTTTTCCGGCTAATCTCTGAAACGGCTGGACTGCTTTTGACGGGACTTTCCCTCGCAGTTAGGTGATGTTATAAGAAGTAACTTAGGCTACTTTTATTTTAGAAAAATAATTAGGGTCGCGTTCAAAAAAAATTAAAATGCACCTAGGGACGCACCCGGGCGAAGCGTGGGTAAGTTGCTAGTATCTAATAAACATTGAGTAGATAATATGTGTCATGTTGTGAAGCCGCAATAATTCGGGCCGATAACTAGGATTACAGGCGAAAGAGAGTGTATTAGAAGAAATACAATATAACGAAAAAGTTGTCTATTAAAAATATAAATTGGTTTAGCTCTCATTAAATTAAACATAAATAGTTTACCTAACAGGTGTTGATGTCAATAAAGCCAATTATTTTAACGTGAACATAAAATACTCTTAGGCGAATATTTGACATCTATCTATACACTAGCGTCTCACCCTCGCTCCGCTCGGGTTCGTCCCTGGGGTGGGGTCTGGGAGGACCACCCTTATCACTATAGGGTATGAAAAATAGATAGTAGCCGATTCTTAGACCTACTGAATACGCATATAAAATTTGGTAAAAATCGGTAAAGCCGATTCGGAGGAGTACGGTAACAAACATTGTGACATGGAAATTTTATATATAAGATATAATAAAATTGTGACTAAGCCGAAACTGTACATTCGATATTTATTGGAAAATGTTATTGAAATAAACATTATTATTTATTATCGATACAGAGGCCGAATCTATGGTTTTTAGAATTTTTGTGTCTGTCTGTCTATTACCGCATCACAGAAAAACCACTGGATTTTGATGATATTTGGTATGGTGATAGGTGGTTACCCGGGTCAATATATTATAGGATACTTTTTACCGCGAGAAAATATCTCATTTCTGAGGAAAAAATACAAAAACTAATGTAACAGTATACTAATATGTAAAACCTAATAATTTGGTTTTTGGTCATCTGAACGCGGGCGGAGCCGCGGGCAATGCTAGTGTTACTATATGAGCTTCCAATAAAACAATTTTGAAGTCCGCTGTAGGTACAAAATAATACCTGTAATAGTACGATAGTAATCGAGAAAGCTTTATTAAACTGGATAAAACTTCCCTCTTCCCGATACTACAATAAGCGTTGATTGTGCGCCTGCGCCGAGAGTGGGCAGACTGCTTAATGCGTATCCGGTGGGACATGACTCAGGCCTCAGAAACTTCCGCTCACCGCTGGGGTCACTTGACAGACGTGGACGATTGAACTGTACGTTCTTAGAAATTATACGATTAGATATGGGATAGAATGAGCATTGTTGGCATATGGTGTGACCATTTGATCATGACCTGCACATGAGATGCCGGATTAGTGTCAGACCAAATCTAAAAGAATATATATATACATTATGTACTTATTTAGTCGAAAGATTAGTGGTAGTAAAGTAAAAAGATGAATTTCATTTTAAAGTTTATATACCTCTCCCGATCTATGTGGAGGACTCCTCACTCTTTTTCCAGGCGAAATACATTTTTAAATAATAAAATATATAACAAACACGACCCAGGGAGGTAGTCACCAAAAATTTGCTTTAGGCTATTTTCAGGTGAGTAGTAAATTATAGATATTAACGGATCAATCTAAATCTATTAATTTCTCACAAATTAGTAATAGATAAACTGTATGTTCATGGAACTTTTGTAATTACGCGGCAATTATTATCTGATTTAATTTAACAAGTTACCTAGCAGTTAATAAAAATAATGGTTAAAAATAATATCAGTTCACAATTATTATAATACATATACTTAAATGTCTCATGAATGTATAACGTACTTCATGCTCCAGGATTCTTGAATCTGTTTTGCTTTACGTATCTATTGTGTGTATAAGACTATAGTGTGGTGTGCAATGAGTGCGCATTGCAAGCAATCCTGCACGCTCCATTTCATTGCGGCGTTAGGGTTCCTCTGTGGTTTCGAGTAAGTCTCACAGTCCCCTGCCGGTTGACACCTAGCAAGGACCAAGATGGGTTTCCCCAGCGATATCAAAAATAAAATAAAAGGTAAGTATCTAGTATGGAGAAATTATGTTACTATACGAAATGTATTTCGTCGTTTAAAAATATGCTTAATAATATATATATTCTTTAGGTAGAAGTTACAACTCAGAAATAATATCAATGTTATCTGGTATGTCCTCAAAGCGTAATTAAAGGCAAAGTTGGACTTCTTTAAAAAAGATCTACTGCAGATAAGGTCTTGAGGTGAGAAGGAATAAAGAGGCAGAGAGAAGAAAATATTATAAAAATTGAAAGACATTATACCTATAAAATAAATTAATGAATTGTATAAAAATAGAAATTAAATAAAATAATAACTAAACATTAATATTTATACAACGATAGTGTAATGGACACTTGAAGTTTGTGCGAGAGCCGAGAGTTATCAAAGAGTTTGGCAAAGAACATATTCCGAGTAAGTAATACTAAAACTATTGTTAGATCAGAACTACTTATACCTACAATATTCCTTGGTCGTAAAATTTCCATTTGAAATGCACTGAAAGTCGTCATCATATCTTAACTACGCTAACATATTGCTTAGTTTTTTTTTGGCGAACGTAATATTTATAAGGTTCATTTTTCAATCTACAGAATGTTTTTCATGGAATAAAAACCAAAGTATCTAAATTAAAATTGATTTTATGTAAATATGTAAAACGATTAAAATTACTTATGTTTGTTTATAGATACTCAATATGCCTTTGATGGATTCTTGTTAATTGTTATTAAACAAAAATAATCCCCGCTGGTTTAAAAGTACCTATTTTTTTAGTTGTGGCGAGTGGTTTATAGAAAAGAAAGTACGTAGCTGATGTCAAAATTATAGCAGTAATATATTTTATAAATTATAATAATTACATAAATTAAAATAAATATCTTGTAATACGATAATCATATATCATAGATTCCATTTTCGACCTTTGCTTCGCTGAGCTTACGATTCGCTGCAGTAAAGCGAAAAAATGTCCATATTTATAACTGCTTAAACATAATATACTCACGGTAAAAAATCGGTTAAGTGCGAGTCGAATTCACACGAAGGGTTCTGTACTAGCGTACATGTACTTTTTATGATCGATTACGAACGTTTAAAAAATGTTTCTTGTATTTTTATTTTTATTTTTTTTGTTATAGCGGCAATTGAAATACATACTCTATGAAAAATTTCATCTCTCTACCTATTACGGTTCATGAGTTACAGCCCTCTGACAGACGGACGTACAGTGGAAGTATAGAAATAGAATAGGGTTCCGTTGACACCTTTCGGGTACGGAACTACGGAACCCTAAAAGCGATACCCAATATAAAATGAAAAAAACCTAATTGAATAGATTAAATTAAAAAATAAACGTAAATATATAAACCTTCTCAAACATATCCTTTGAAAACTTATTTTAAACATTTAAAGTTGTAAACGTTATACAATACCCAATTACAGCCTTTTAAATATAAATTACTACTAACATTATGTTGGTAATTTAATCATGCGGGCGTAGTTGAAGGCAATTTATTTACAATGTCATATTAAGAGGTAATAAATATTTTGTATGGAATATAAATTAAAGGAAATCATGGTAATTCTTTAATTCATTCTACAATTTCCACTAATATCGAGGAGCGACCTATAACAATGCCAGCAAATGACGCGTTATGTCGTAACCAGATGAGTAGAAACTAAAAAATACAATATATCTCACAGTTGTATAATTAGTGCTAAGTTTGTTTTGTTTTTAGAATGCTTATATAAGGTGTTTTTATTTATATTAATGATATTAAAAATTAAATAATAACTTGCTGCAAGTTAATACGTAAAATATAAGTGCAGCTTGTCTAAAAATGCAAGCGGTTATGAGTTACCACTTACCAGTTAGTTACCACAGTATTATATGTTGGCTCAGAGCTAATATCTCTTTTGGATGCGTGCCATCCGAAATACCCCGAACTCCGAAGTAATCTTTTACTTTACCTCTCACAATCGAATTGCTTTTTTTACGCAATTACACATTAACGTTCGACATAATATATTGGCGATAATTTACCGAAAAGTATTGCTGTAGTTGAAAGATTGTTACACAATAGAATTAGAATAGATGCTGTCTTTAATTTTTTGAGGTTTTAATATATCAAAGAGTAGGTAGGTACTAAAGCAATTTCGCTGGATGTTAAACAATTATCTTAACGACACGACCAATAAAAAGGAAACAAAAGAAGCAAAGAGAATGTAACCACCATGGATGACAAATAAAAGTAACCACTAAGTTTTAAAAAGAAGCATAGGCATGAGTTTTTAAAATATTTTGTTAGCATAATAAAGCCTAATACAAAAAAGTTGTTTATATACCACTTTTTGTGCAAAACCAAATAGTTTTCGAAAAATTTAAGAAAAACTGATGAAAACTACGAATTTACTAATGTCTACCCCCTCTCCCCCCGAAACTCGACGCTCAAAATGGTGTAATTTTTTACCAAACAATATGTGGACTGTATAGAACAATTTGGAACTGAAGGGAAATTTTTACTTTGGATGTTGAGGTTTGTATCTAATTGCACCTACTATTAAGAATGCCTATTCTAACGAATTCATAAAATCTTATGTAAACATTCTAATATTATGTAATATTACTATAATCAAGTTGTATAAAATTGAAGTATAGTGATGTTTATAGAATTTGAATTTAAAAAAATAAACAGATGGTTTACTCCACGGAAGACAAAAAACTATATTTTTTTTTTCTTCCGTGGCTTACTCTATCTATGCATTGAAATGTCAAATGACATTGTCGAAAGACAATTTTGTCAATTGTCATTGACTCATTGACAATGTCAATTTCATTCGAAAATATCAACAAACGTGTGCTTTAATTAATTTATTTAATAACTACTGATTATTTCACTAAAATGTCTAGTTCAAAAAAGAAAGCTTTGTTTATATGTCTTGGTCAGTATTACATATATGTGTTAAGATAACGTGTACTGAAATGATACAACTTTATAGCGTTCGTTTATGTATAGGAAATATTTGCCGATCGCCAATAGCTGAAGGTGTATTCCAAAAAACTGTAAATGATATGGGTATTGGAGATCATTGGGAGATAGACAGTGCAGCGATAGGAGGATGGCATGTAGGCAACCCACCTGATTGGAGAGCATTGGACACAATGAAGAAATATGATGTGCCTTATAGTAACCATGCACGACAGGTATGTTAAAAGGACAAATAACTCCTTATTCATCTTAATGATAGTGTGATAATAAACAATACTTTTACTGATCTTATTATTTGGCTTATGGCCAAGGTCAAAGATAGTTAATACTGATTTAGAACAAAGTACCAGCTGGCATCTATATTATAATAAGAAAAAAATTAAATTAAAATAAGCATTAATAAAATATATTACTAAAAATATAAAATAAATCACATTTAAAATAAGCATGAAGCTCTTAGATATACTATGTAAAATAAAAGGTTAAATTTTCAAAACATATCACCCATATCAGATAACAACAGAGGATTTCAACCATTACGACTTTATATTTGGAATGGATGAAGCTAATATGAAAGATTTAAAGAAAAGAGCACCTAAAGGTTCTAAAGCCAAACTCTTGTTATTTGGAGATTATGATCCTCAGGGTGACCGAATCATCAGAGATCCTTATTATGTAAGTATTATTTTAAATTATATAGTATAAATACTATTATATAGGTCAGCAATGCCTAATATTTTTGGCCATGGAACCCTAATTGATAATATTTTTTTTAACATAGGTATCCCTATTTTGATAATAGGTAAACTGAATACTTTCTTGTTTGACTTGAAAGAACAAATCATAAATGAAAAATATTAATACTGTGATACCCCTGTGACCCTTGACTTGACAATGGTGGTCCACGGAACCTTAGGGTTCCTATTTGGGAACTGCTGATATTGTATGTATTCAGCCCTTCTTAATGTCCCACTGCTGGGCACGGGCCTCCCTTCAATATGAGGGGGATCAGGCCATAGTCCACCATGCTGGCCAAGTGCGGGTTGGCAGACTTCACATGTCTTTCGAAAACTTGCTAGGTTCTCTCAGACATGCAGGTTTCCTCACGATGTTTTCCTTCACCGTACTGCTGATATAGATTGTATTATTAAAATTTTTGGAGAGCATCTTTAGAACTTTTAAGATATAGACTATTTTTTTATCAAAATACCTTAGAAGTTGATCTCCATGTTGACAGAAAAATTTTGTCAAAACAAAATAGTATATTGAAATCAAATATCATTCCAAGTTTGTTAGTAAAATTCATATTAGTTTTTTTTAATTTATTTTAGAATATTACTTTTAATTTTTGTATTTTTTTAGGATAGTGATGCAAAAGGTTTTGAAAAGTGCTATCAACAGTCTGTTAGATGTTCGCAAGGATTCCTTGAGCAATTGGAAAAGGGAAATGTTAAGTGATACACTTAATAAATTCTGTAATAATATTTATTCCAATCTATTCCAGAACGTTTCTTAGAAATAAATGAATTAAGACTTGTTTATATTTTGTTTAATTCCTAGCAACTAACCCTCTCTTCGCTCGGTTGCATCTCTAGGTAGGTATTATTATTTTTGAGCAGAACCCAATTTTTTTTTCTAAAATAAAAGTAGCCAAAGTTACTCCTTATAACATCAGCTATGTACCTGTAAAAGTCACGTCAAAATCGGTTCAGCCGTATCGGAAATTAGCCGGAACAAACGGGTAGGCGTTTTTTTTTAATTGTGTTTTTCTTATAAGTACTATATATAATTTCATATGCATTTAGTGAAAAGATGTTATTTTGACATTACAAACTGACACTTCTATTTTATTTATTTGTATAGATACTGGACATATTAAATTTTAAATGCCAAATTGAGTTTAATTCAACAACATCATTCTAAGCTAATCATAATCAAATTAAAGGGCCATTTACATGAGAAGAGAGAGTAGAGAAGTTTTTACTTATAAGACTCTCACATATACAATGCAATTTTCTTACAAGACTTCGATTTCATCGACTCATAATAATCAGCCCTTTTAAAGTCCCACTACGGGGCACGGGCCTCCCTACAATACGAGGGGGATCAGGCCATAGTCCACCACGCTGGCCAAGTGCGGGTTGGCGGACTCCACATGTCTTGCGAAAACTTGCTAGGTTCTCTCAGTCATGCAGGGTTCTTGATATTTTCCTTGACTGTAAGACAGGTGGTAATCATTTTGAAAATGATTCGCTCATGAAAATATCAGAGGTGCGAGACCCGAGATTTCAACCCGCTTCACTTAGTTTCAAAAGCGAGCGTGTTACCACTGAGCTACCACTGTCATACAACTCATACAAATATTATTTAGTTTGGAATTTTTTTAATATTTAGAGACTTCATTGCTTATGATTGTTATTATGCATATGAGGTTACCAATTAATTATAATTAAAAGAACTCTCAGTTACTTTTCATATTGAAACTGCCAATAACCAAAGAGATTGGTAAACTTTTCCATATTAAATATCGTATAAACACTGGACAGTGGACAGATCGTACCTTTTATAAAGTATAAAATGAGGAAGAACCAAAGTTACATTTTATCTTGGTACTTGCAAAAAGTATAAGTTAAAAACTTAAAAGTTACTTAACTTACGAGTTATGAGTTCAGTGAAGTTGATAGTTTAACAATATTAACAATATATTTTAGGTACCTATAATACTTTCTTAGATTTACGCGAATATTTGACATTTTAAATAAAACTATCTTTTCGGATTATTTCGCGGATTTATTTTGATTTTTGGGGACATGTAACACCTCAGTCTCTCCCGTGACCATGGATGCTGTAAAGCATTCGAAACGTCGGGAACCAAAAACCAAAATAAATCCGCGAAATAATCCGAAAAGATAGTTTTATTTAAAATATATTTTAGGTAATTAGGTTTTCGTGTGTAAAGAAAATTACCGCTTAAATTACCGATAACCTTGACCCTACCCTATGAATACATGACCTTCCGTAACAAGGCATTAGACGGCCCGATTACTTGCGCCAAAATACTATCGTCCAATTAATTGAGTGAAACTGGAATGTCGGCATTTGGCACAGACATTAAATACATACATTGTTTATAATTAAGTTTATAAATAGTGTAATATTTAATTTATAGAATGTTAATGTGTTGACTGGTCTCTAGTTTTGAAAAGAACAATTCAAGTTGACATAATTCCTATAGACCCATTGCTGCTACTACTCCTCTAATAGCAGAGTGGATTGTTGGAGCAACCCCATGGGTTGTGATCTGCTTCGGCAGACCTGCCTTCGGGGCGTCGTGGTTGAGTGTGTAAGCGACCCTGCGACGCCCCATTAACACGGGGGAGGTTCAGGCTTTAGTGGATAGTACCGGCTTTGCCGGTGAGTCCCACATAACCACCTGTATGTATGCAGGTGGTATGCCTAAATGTTTTTCCCAACCGCGAACGTTAAAAAACATATATGTATAGACCCATAGTGTACAGGCATGAGCTATTAAAATTAGCTTTACAAGCTTTGATCAATGATCACTCTCTAGAAGGAAGATATGGGAAAGAAAGTTGTCTTTGAGTTTAAAGAAATAGATTAACTTACATATATTATGTACAATATTTAATGCTGAGCTCGAGTCTCGACTCGGTTGTCAGCGAAATAGGAAATTAAATATAGGTACCTATTATATTTACTGAAAATTATTATTTGCGCTGTTCTCTAGTTTGATACATGATTAGATTAATTAATTATTTAATAATAAAAAAGACAGCACGGTTCAAACCAACAAGTGTAATCCTTATACTAAAAAATAAAATAAATGCTGTTTGTTAGCAAGCACGTTACTTGAGAACGGCTTTGCCGATTTAACTAATAGGGAAATTAAAAAGAATATTTTTCAATGAGTGGAATAATTACGTTAAAGTGATAGTACTTTCTTAGATTTACGCGAATATTTGACATTTTAAATAAATACTAATATATAATAATACGTTAAAGTGATTTTCAAATCGGTGCTTTGTTTTGTTTAAAAATAATTATTTACCGGTCATTTCTATAACGCGTCTTTTCTATTGTACACTACATTAGCGAAGAAAATTATATACAAATGGCACTCATGTAAGATAGAGAAAAAATTGAAATCACATGTTATGTTGCGTAGAATTTTGTTCACTTCAGCCAAATAAACTTGGAACAGCGGCGAGATTTGAATGTTAATTATTATATTTGGCAGCCATTAGTGAACGATTCATGATCTATTTCTAGTATCAATAAGTGCATTCATAAATTGTGCATGTACATATTACGTTAATGTATGAATTATTAGTGGCAGTATATTTGTGGAGGGCATTTTCTCATGTTATTTACATTTCATGTAGATTCCACATTAGATAAAAAAACGGTAACTGTACCTGCAGGATCACTCGCGTATCTGTCTGTCAATATCTATGTGGTTTTTATATATTTTTAAATAAATAAAGTAATTAATTAAACTACTTACATATAATAGTTGAAGGCGATAACTATGTACCACAGACCGAAGATGATTATACCTTCTCCCATGGTACCACTTTGACTTTTTTGTTCCTAGGAAAAATATGACATTATTAGACATATGGGATCTTTAATATAAACACGTGTATCGGTTGTCCAGCCCTCGTTTCGAGTCCTGGCTTGGACAAAGTAAAGATATTAGGTTTTTTTTTCAATAAATTCTCGGTTCAAATTCCGCCCCTATTTGCCGCCCTAAGCAATGCTCACTCATACTGCTGGTGAATCTGCCATTGTATAAAACGTGTTTAAATAGAAAATAAATCAGCGTTAAATTGTTGTATGGTATTTAGTATTTATTTAAAACATGAACATCTAAGTCATACAAGGATTGAATTCGAATCTATATTTCAAGAATATCTTGGCAAATATGTAAGTAAGTAATACTTACTGTCCCTTTTACCAAAAAAGTTTAATTTAAATTAAAATAACCGTTTAAAATTCAAGCATATGATATGATTTGTGATTTTAAAACATAGCAATTATTTTTTTATAAAAATATATGAGTCGTCCTTATTTAACTTTTTGTTTAATATCTAAGTACCAATCATCAATGTACCTACATAATTGTAGTGATTCAGTTGCTATATACCTTATTATCCATGATTGATATTAATATTTGCTGCTAGATGCTTTTCCTAAATATATCCCTGCCTTTATAAATCCATTTTGTTTCATTTAACGGTATATATTAAGCATGAAAACCTAAATTTTACTACGCGCGACATGATGAGAGATTTGATACGATTTTGACTTTTTCCAACCCCTTGTCAATACATGAGTAGACAATGTCTATGGTTAAAATGATTATTTAGAGGATTTATTTACTGTATTTACTATCGTTTTTGTCACAACACAAACAATAAATTTGTTTACAACTTTGAGTGCAACATATCTATACGTACATATAATAAAATTGTAACTAAGCCGAATCTGTACATTAAATATTTTTTGGAAAATCTTATTGAAACAAACATTATTATCGATATAGAGGCCGAATCTATAGGTAGTTTTTTGTCTGTCTGTCTGTTACCGCATCACAGAAAAACCACTGGAGGGATTTTGATGAAATTTAGTATGATGATACCTGGTTATCCGGGTCAACATATAGGATACTTTTTACCGCGGTAAAATCAAAAATGCCTTATTTCTGAGAAAAAATACAAAAACTGCAATGTAAAAGTATACTAATATATAAAACATAAGAATTTGGTTTTTGGTCATCTGAACGCGGGCGATGCCGCGGGCAATGCTAGTCCTAGTTATGTATAAAATGTATGTATTATGTGCAAATGTATGTGTATGTATGTTTGTTGTCTCATGGAGTAATACCTACACACTTACTACTGCTAGAAATAAAATTTTCTAAAAGGTGGCTCTGCCTGTATATAATATTGGGCAAAAGGCACCAAATGGAACACCCGAGCGAAAGAGTACTCCAACAGATAAATCGGACGCAGCGGACCAATTAAATGGCTCCACGCTCTCCTGACCTCAACCCCATCGATTTTTCTTTTGGGGCTATTACAAGGAAATAGCATACACCCGAGGGTCGAGACTGTTCTTCAAGTAAACAATACTGCCCTCCCGAACCTAAAGTGCAGTAACAGCAAAAACACGAATTCGAGAAAAACGCGCTTAAAGTTTAGAATCCATAAAAATATATCAAAAAGAGACTTTTCGATAAAACCTTGAATGGAAAGTGAAAGAATATGTACCAAACTAAAATACTAAACATTGTTACGTTAGTTTTTTTATAAAAAACTATAATTATGGCAATTTTAATTTTTTTGCCCCTATTACTACACACACTTTACTTGTATAATCTTTTCAAAAACTGTTTTAAATGCAGTAAATCCTGTTATTACTGCATTTTAGACATTTCTTCCATGATTGTTACTAACTAAAGTGCAGTAATATTATGAAAATACTGCTATTTAATCTGTTTTTTTGAACAAAACACTGATATTCCACACTTATAGTAATATAAAATTACCTTTAATTTTGATAAAAATATGTAATTTCTTAAACAAAACTGGACATGCATTTATGACTATGCTATTAAAACTATTCATCAAAACATTGTACATTATAATCTAATAGTGTAAATTGTTTTATATGACTAACAATATAACAATCTTTACAAGATGTTGATAATCTTAACTAGTTAATCCACCATAAAACTATATCACATGTATTTCTCATGCATGGATCAATAAAATTTACATAAAATCTTTCTTCTGAACATAACTAATTACTAAATGAGTATTCTTGTCTTACAAAAATAATAGTCTGAAAAGATTATGGAAGGGAGAAACTAAGGAGAATTAACTTATATGGGAAACAGGTTGAAAAAGTGTCCAGTAGTGAGCAGCAAATTATAGCTCAGAAACTCACCGTTAAGCCTAGTTCGCATTAAGCTAGTATTTTAGTCTAGTAGCGAGTAATTTAGTAACTAAACGTGTCTGAACACTAAAAATTTAGTCGATTAGTTTAGTAAGTAATTTAGTCGAGTAAATCCATTTTATTCTATTTTTTTGGGCGAGTTGCAGCCCCCATCACGCGTCCGAGCTCACTGGTTCACCGGCTAAACAAGTACGAACCTGTCGAATTAGTCGAGTTCATTAGTTGCCGCCATAACATTCATTAACAGAAAATTTACACAACTTTCGGACATTCTCAAACTATCGAAGTATTCTTTGGGATCTTCCAATGCTAATTCCTTCAGAAGACAATTAGTAGCTCCTAGTTTATCTTGTCTTTCGATCCATTTTCGTACCCATAGCTTCTTTTTATTAATCACACAAATTTCCTCATCCACCTCTTCTAAAATAGCCGTTACGATCAGCTTAATCAGTTTATTTACTTTATTGCGTTGTAGGCTGTTCATCTTGTAAAACTACTAAGCTACTAAATTACTCGCTACTAGACTAAAATACTAGCTTATTGCGAACTAGGCTTTACAGCACTAGCGTAGCAAGTAGATGTGATGTGAAGTTAGTAGTTTTTAACGGAGTGACGTGTGCTGAATTATTATTACTTGAAAATAATATATAATTATATTGCTGTTTGCCTATGCTAGAACTATTTAGACAAGTGCGCCACAGCAAAGCGGAAATCTTTCTTTCCTTGTTTAATTCGCCTTCTTACTTTTATGACGTTATGTTTTAAACTAGCGACTCACCCTCGCCTCACTCGGCTTCGTCCCTGGATACTTTTTTTTGAGCGGAACTCTAATTCTTTTTTTTAAATAAAAGTAGCCTATATTACTCCCTATAACATCAGTTACCTTTCACTGAAAGTCCGTCAAAAACAGTCCAGCCGTTTCAGAGATTATTCGGAACAAACAGACAGACAAAAAATTTTAAAAATTAGTTTTTCTTATAAGTACCGTATATAATTTCATATGCATTTAGTATAAAGGTTTATTTTGACATTACAAACAGACACTACAATTTTATTTATCTGTATAGATGTATAGATTCATATACTTGTTTTCTATGGCGCCACCAATTTAATGCTTGTCAAGTTGTCAGCGGTGACTTTTTATACGAGAAATAGTTCTCCTTAGTTCTACCCTCCATATCTCTTTGGTACAGACACAGCATGGCACGTCAAGTCAGCCTTAAGCCACAGATTAAGGAGACTACCTCAAACCGCGATATTGCCTGTCCTGTGTTTTAATATTTTAATAATTTTACCTATTAAAACGCAGTATTAGGGAATAGTATTTGACTTTAAGTATTTTAGGTAGTATGAATTGGATGAAGCAAACTAACTAATATGCAGTAAAATTTATAAATATTGTAAACTAAATGGTCTTTTACAAGCAACTACAAAACATCCTACAAGTTAAACTGCAGTAAAGTTATTAAATACTTCATGTCTTTTAGTTTTTCACAAGAAATTACAAAATCCCCCACAAGTTAATGTGCAGTATGGAATGTTAATAAAACTGCACTTTAATTAGGAATATAAATAAAAAATATTTTTTCTTAACGTTTGCAGTATAATCAATTTGTATAGAGTCGAATAATACTGCATTTTAATAAGTTTTTTCTTGAATCTTCTAGAACAAACTACTATTTTAAGTGCCACAAAATATGATAAAACACTGCAGTTTAGTTAGGAAACAGAGAAAAATCTTGTGCAGTATTAATTGTACTGCGGTTTAGCTGGTAAACATGGAATATTTTAACAGATTTGTGATATTTTTGCTGTTACACCTTCCGAAAAAACATTAAAATAAAATACTTTTATTAGCGCTACAGAAAAAAGAATTAATTTGACTGATAGCTACTAAAATGGGGATTTAGAATATATATTTAACTCAAAACCGACCAAAATGTCTATTACTGCACTTTAGGCTCAGGTGGGCAGAATAGACCTTAGGAATTATAAAATGGCCATTTTTTTAATCAGGTGGCTAATTTTCTGAATTTTCCACCTCGCTGTCTTTGAAAGCCGATTTTAGCAGTCTCCCCCATTAGGTACTACTTTTTTTTTAATTATTATGAAAGCTGAGTCTTGCGCATTCTTGAGGCCTACTTGGGAACCATAAAGTTACCTGCTTAGATTTTTATATAAAGTTAAAAATTTAAGTCATAATTCATAGGGGAATTTTCATAACTTTCATCACAGTTACGAAGCTGATTATTTTATGTTTAAAAGTACTATTTATGAAGATTCAGTTGCAAAAAAAATCTCAACAAAGCCTTATAATTTTTATTTTTAAGTTGGTCAGGTCAAAAATTCTAAAAAATTGAGAAAAAATATCATAACTCCAAAACTATGAAAAGTCACGGAACATACATGGGGGTGATTCCCCACGATACGAAGGAATAAAATTTTTTTTTTTGGATTTCAATGTTCCGGCCGTAGGTATATATTTACAACGTTACTTGTCTTGAATGACTCATCACCATGCAAACATTTTGGCATCGTATTTTCGATATTGTATTTAACATGTGATAAAAATTTATAAGAATGTGAAGAAGAAATTATATTTTTCAGTGTAATATTGTAAATATAAAGACTTGTTATTTATAAACTTACCTATTATTTTAGTTCAGGATGTTTTGGTTGATGAAAATTTGGTTCTAGTGGGTCGTGATCATGTTTATAGTATAGTCATGTCACAGATTATATATTTTTTTAATTTTGTAAAACAATTTTCTGCTTTTTATATTAAAAAATTTTTTTTCGAGCAATCTATGCTAATATTATAGAGGCAAAGTTTGCGAGTTTGTGACGTTGTAGGGGGTTATCTCTGGATCTACTGAACCAATTTAGATAAAATTTGGTATGTAAAAAAATAGTTTGAGACCCTGGAAAGGACATCCCTTAAAGGGGTGAAAATGGGGATGAAAGTTTGTATCGGTAAGCAGGCTAGAGACGAACCCGAACAAAGCGAGGGTGAGTCGTTAGTATTATAATAAGCCAAAAATTGTTTCTTATATTTTTATTTTATTTAGATAACTATTGGGTACGGTATATTTAAAAATAAAACTCTCGAGTTTAAGATACAACTTTTATTAATATAAAAATAAATTTTAACAAGGTATAATATAAAAATCGTTTATTATGAATATAATGTATAAATATGGCGAATATTAGGAAAGCTATATGTTGGTAGGAATAGCTTTAATCTTAAATGTATTTATTTTACATACAAAAATAAAAGCGACACTAAAAAGATATTTTTGATGAAGATAATATTTTCCTAGTGGCTGTTTTTGGAACTAAGACAGATACCTATTTTTTATTGTCTATGGAGTATGGACGCTTTTTATTTTATATACATTTATATAATATTTAATATTTACTATCCACAGGTTTATTATAATATATTGATTTTATTTATTGCTAATATAATTTCTTATAAGAAATCTGTACTCTTAATAAAAATGGAGTATTTATAGTAGGGGAGCCACTTGAGTAAATCCCAAAATTCCACATAGGACTTTTCCGCTATAATATAACAGCCACTTATAATATAATAAAACATATTGGTCCATAAGTATAAATTTACTAAAAATTCTTTATACTTAAATATAATTGGATTAAAAAATTGTAAGAAATGAAATTATCTGGTACATATATTATGGGTAATAATTGTCTTTTTATAATAGAAAGATCTAATAAGCTGCGATAAATCCTTCCTGCAATTTATCCAAGTATGCTTTTCTGCAAGGCAACTCATCTGCTGGTCTGTTGTATGGGAGCCACACAGGCTCACCTATGAAGAATCGTTTGGCTCTGATGAAATTCTGCAAATATATAATATATTAAAATGTTATTAATTATCTATTCATATAATAAAATTGTAACTAAGCCGAATCTGTACATTAAACATTTTTTGAAAAATCTTATTGAAATAAACATTATTATCCATGCAGAGGCTGAATCTATAGTTTTTAGAATTTTTGTCCGTCTGTCTGTTACCGCATCACATAAAAACTACTGGAGGGATTTTGATGAAATTTGGTATGGTGATAGCTGGTTTTTCGGGTCAACATATAGGAAAATTTTTACCGCGAAAAAATGTCTCATTTCTGAGAAAAAAAATACAAAAACTGCAATGTAAGAGTAATACTAATGTGTAAAACCGAAGAATTTGGTTTTTGGTCATCTGAACGTGGGCGAAGCCGCGGGCAATGCTAGTTAAAAAATATACTTTTAGATTATTTTTCCTATTATTTTATCATGTATGGTATATTATGAAAAGTTTTGAACTACCTTGCTACCAACACCACCTGATAACACCAACTGATTTACATGCTCTCCAACACATGGCACGGTGTAACACCGCCAACTATTCCAGGTTATTACTAAGAATTTCTTAATACAAAATGCCCGACCCGGGACTCAAACACTGGAACTACGGATGTGCATCATACACGCTAGCCACTATAGTACATCAAATTTGGTCGCCCACACTCATTTGTACAAAATTATTTTATAATATTATTTTGTAAGCTTCAATAATTAAGAAGAATTTGATTCAGTAATATTAAATAGAAAGGAGACAACAATAATAACAAATCAATAGTTACGTTAGTGTCAAGGGTGAACCGATGGTAGATGCCACTGGGGATAATGATCATGTCTCCAGCCGAAACAGCAATTCTGATCCATTCATCATTTCCATCACGCACATCAAAATATCCAGAGCCTTCTAGCACAAGTCTAGAATCAGTAATAAAATGTAAATTAAGAATTAGTACAAAAATTTAGTAGAATTAATACTTTGTTAGATTTATAAGAATATTTGACATTTTAAATAAAACTACAGTTGTTGCACTGTCTGTAATACTTGTTACAATAATAATGACCTTTTAGACGTCTAAAACCTTAGTTTCTCTAAAATGCTGTCATCAAAAAAAAAAAAGCATCTGAATCATCAGGATCTAAAAATCAAACTAAATCCAAAAAGATAGTTTTATTTAAACTTCTAGCACTAGTAAAACAATGTACACATATAAAAACTTAAAAAAAAATTAATACCGACTTCCAGGCACTAAAATGTAAAAAATAACTAAACGGGGGTTTTCATTTAGAATAACTATTATACTAACCTAACCTAATCAGATATTTTCGAAGTCGGTGCCAGCCGATGCAAAGCAAATCTAATATATTTTAATACGTAAAATACGTATTTACCTATTAGATATTCATATCTTAAAATATTGTCGGAAAAAGTTTGTTTAGATACATCTTTAAAATTCAATATATTCATTCTTATAAAACAAATCATTTCATCATCACATGTACTTATAGAGCTAAAATTTACCATTTACTGTGTGTCAATTATTTATATAGTTTAGATAAAGGAATATAAAACTACAATATGACATATACACAAAGTTATCTTGGGTCTTTGGTCTTTGGTCAAAAAGTTGTTTGTGTACATGAAACTATATTTCTTGTCTCATGTCTTTTAACACAAAACAGTGGAAAAATACAATATTCTTGCAAATGAATGTTTCGCTATTCTTCTTAAATATCAGTTCCATATTAATATTTACTCTAAAATAAAGTTTTATTTACCACTAATAAAAAGTTTACATTACTTGATGTAACAAAATTATTTTGTATTACATTTTAATCTTTTAAAGTGTAACACAAAAAAATATATTTTAATTGCTATTCAAATAGAATTTTTGAAATTTTAAAGGGCACAAGTTTAGTATTTAAAGTTTATAAGTATTTGACTATTGAAGTATAAGTTATATTTATTCTTGAGGTTAAAAAAACAAGATTTTCCTTTAATATACCATTCACTTTACCAATGTTTACCTGATTTCCTCATCAGTGTGTAGATGTTCTTCATAAAAAGATTTAATTTTTTCCTCATAGTTTGGTAAGCATTCCTTCGAGCAAGCTATCTCATCTTCATATGTGTAGCCTCTCTCTTTTTTGATTTTATCTAACACTCCATCTATTAAATATGTATTCACATTTATCTGAAAATTGTTTTAAAAATAACTACATTCTTATTATATCAAATATGATAAATAAATTTAGGCTAAGTTAAAACTTACAAAGTATAATAAGTTTGACCTTTTAAAACAAACTATTATCCGATATTAGATAAAAGATAATAACAAAACATCTAGAAGATGCGAAACTTACGTTAAAGTATTCGACACCCGTTTTCTTATATAAATCCTCAAGAGGTATATATTCTGGAGGGTTTCGATGGTGCTCTAAGCGTTGATCACTTTGTTCATCATCCATAAACCAAGCTTTGACCATTTTTATTTGTATATAAAATTTAAGATGATGAAATAAAATCAACTTGACTTGTGTATACACTTACCTACTCAGTACTCTTTTAATTTTTATTTTTTATCTTTTGACACATATCAGTTATCACTGACAAGTGTCAAGTGTCAACTGTCAACCTTCCAATTTATGACTCCAGGAGAAAATAATACCTTTTTTAAATATCGTTTTATCGCCATAGTATCTTATCATTTTGGATTTGTGGTAAAAGTGTAATTTTATTAGTAGTTTGGAGCAATTACTCTTTTTTTTTTTATCGTCGGGAAATGCATTTACGCATACCACCTGATCCCCCAGGTGGTGATGTGGGGCTCACCGGCTAGAAGTGCCGGTACTACCCACTAAAACCCGTCATCCCTTCCCCCCGCCTTAGTGGGACGCCGCAGGATCGCTTGCGCATAACTACTACGGCGCCCCGGCGGCAGGTGTGCCTAAATACTAGGCAGACCACCAAACCAATGGGGCTGCTCCACAGTCAACTCTGCTACGTCAGAGAGGTACCCGGAGCAGCCCCATAAAACCAAAACACCGCCCACCGAAGTGGGCCACCTCCAATCGGCTGCAGAGGACAGGGAGAGCGGCAACGAAACACCGACACTCCTCTTCCCCTGCAGCCCCACCGCGTCCGCCATCAAACGGTGGCGGCCCCGTCTAGGCCGCGGAAGGTAGGGAGAACGGCGCACCCAAATACCGGCACTCTTCTCCCGCCGCGGCCTACCCCTCCGCCGAATGCGGGCCTGCGACCACAGTCCCGCAACCGGCACCCATCATCCGGTTGTGGGACCAAGCGGTCCCACCACCGGTGGCCGCAACGTCTTCGGCTCGAGGCCTAGACCTGCGGCCCCATCCAAGCCATTTGGTCCGCGCCGGATTTCTCCGGTACCACCCGCCCCTCTAAGCGGGTGGCATGCCCCTATCGGCCACCTGGGGACACGCCCGGTAGGAGTTGGCTTCTCCCCCGGGGGAGCAATTACTCTACTAAATACTAAATTTACTTATTATTAGGAAGCCGGCTTCGTTTCCGGGCTGCTTTGTATTATAAAGGTATGGGAGCACGATCTTTGTCTTTAATAATTTGTAGTTCGTAAGTCTTATTCGACTCTAAACAGCTCGTAAAATCATCGGTCCTTCTGTTGTTTCACTATTCGTGTCAGAGGACCAATATGAGACTAAAAACAACAAAAACGAGTTCATTTTAAGAAATATTGGCTATCGTGACTGAAACTTCATGTAAGAACTTTTAATAATTTATTTATATAAAATATCTAACTCACATATAAACTTATTTACTAAACTTCCGTGATGTGTATTCTTTTTTTGTGACAATACGAGCTATTTTGAAAAAAAATTGTCGACAAATTTTTAGTAGCAAAATGAAACATATTTACTAGGGTTATTATTTGCTGCACGTAAAGTTTGTGAGTTTATGACGTTGTAGGGGGTAATCTCTGGATCTACTGAACCGATTTAGATGAAATTTAGTAAGAAGATAGTTTGAGACCCTGGGAAGGACATAAGATACTTTTTATTCCAGAAATCACCCCTTAAGGGGGTAAAAATGGGGATGAAAGCTAAACACCACAGTAGCGAGTGTGATTGCGACTAGCCATAGATTGCGCAGGAAATATTATAGTAGATTTTCCATAATAATTCTTGCACAAGTGTGTGCGCAGACACAAGTGTACTCTCTACCTCTGTCACGATACTTCGACATGACCGGTGAGAGCTCAGGCGCAGGATCGACGGTTTACGTGGTCTCGTAGGCTTGAAGTGTAACACTGTCAACTTCTCAACTTCGGGATGCTAGTGAGAATCTCTTAGCAGAAACACTCATTAACTACACTTAGCACGACCCGAGGCTCTTAGCTCTAATCCAAGATATCTGGATTTGCAACCGTACATTACAGCCATAAAACCAACATAGCAGTCAAAAAATGAAAACATTTTGATTTAGATTAAAAAAAGGAAACGGGAATTAAAACACAATATAAATTAAAAATAATTTTATTACATTAATCTAATATAACACTTTGTTCCATAACTAAATTAGACTCCGTTAGCCACAAGGATTGGGATCTTATTGCCTATACAAAAATAATCTACCTATCAGTATACTCAGAACTGTCAAACTTTTTGCAACACTTTCTAATTCAATTACATTCAATTCACAGTTATAAGAAATATCCGTATTCAAATCATATTATTGTTTAGGCTATTTTTTTATTTTATTACAAATTAACTTTTATTATGATATGATATTGAAGTTTGAATATTAAGAATCGTATCAGTATAATTAAGTATAGGCCATATATAGATTAAAATCGAATAGTAAAATATAAAAATTATAATCATTAATATTTTGTCCATTTTATTTAATGGCATTAAAATTAAAGACACAAAGAATATTAATTAAATTATGCAAAATGCATTTTATACAAATTTATTTAATTCAGTTAATTCACTTAAAGAATGAAGATCACATATAATAATATAGAACATTCTTCAATGAAGAATAAAAAAGCACTTTTAAAATATTATTAAAGATTAAAAATATTAAACCAATTAAAATTCCATAAATAAATAAATGCAACAAATAAAAAACTTACTTGGACGGAAGTATAAATCACAAATAAAATGTCAGGGTAAATATTACACAAAAAACAGTGATTATATGTATAAATAAGAAATATTCTGATTTCTGGGTAAATTTAGAAAGTTATTGAAATAAGTTTTTTGAATCTTGCCTTTAACAAGATTCAAAAAATTTCCATATTTCAAAACAGTTACAAGTTACAGAATAAAAGATATCATTTTTGATGTTGATTTTTTTTTAAATTTGAGGTTTTTAAGGTAAATACCATAATGTATAGCAAGATAGCTGACAGTTTAAATTTAATAAATAACAATAACATACATAACTTGCGATATAACAAAATGTCCTTTTGTATGTAGCCCATATTGCGACCAAAACAGCGTTTATATTTTGTTCACTAATTTAGTGTCGCTGTATACCACCTATATTTTATAATTGCTTTTATCTTTTCATATAAACACAGGTTGTAATACAGAAGTTGTAAATTAAAATTGATATACAGCATAAATAAATTATATATGTATAGTTAATGTTAATAATTACCTATACATATACACAAATTAATCTGTTTTCCTATATTAATTTCAACGTTTTTATTACACTCAAATCCTGTATTAATTTTGTTGGACCGACACTAATTGAGCGAACAAAACATATCAGGTCACAGCAGTGTCAACGAGGGCTGCCGCGCTTGAAATCGCCGCGAGAGGCGCTAGTGTAGAGTGGGGCACAAGAAATCTTATCGGTTTAAAAGAAGAGTTAAGAAAAAGTCAATATTTTATTTATTTGATTATGATTAATTATTTAAAATTCTGATAGAAGTGTTTTCGCGCTAACAATTATAATTATTATATTAAATTTATTGAATCTGCTGCACTAACAAATACTTTTCAACGACAGCGATAGGACCTCACACGCCAGTGGCGCCAACTGGTGCCGCCAAAAACTATAGCCCTCATTTTACGGACGTTTGAAACAGTTGTTAAACGACACGATTACAATATGAGAATAAAATAAAGTACAATATACACTAAAATGTGCATTCAAAGTGTCATGTTATATCCTTATTATTCTATCGAAAACGAACACTGATCATTTTATATATGCTTTAAAAAATGGCAACACACCTGCTAGGTTTTTTTCATAATAATAGAGCGCTGAGTTTATACATTATTTATGAATAAATCATATTATAACGTAAATATACATTGAGTCTAATACAATTTGTTATATCAATATGCTTTTACCTTTTATTCAATTATTACAAAAACAAAAAATATATATTTAAAGCTAAATTTAATTTAAACTATACCAACTTACAAATGAAATACTGAGATCATATTCTTATTCCTACACGACACCTGAATTTCGAAATCAACGAGTTTTTACTATAATATGCTCACATTTGAAAAAATATTGTAATTTTTGAACCGTAAAATAGCAGCAATTATTTTAATATATACCTATGTATGTATAATGTATATACGGAATAATTATGACGCCTAAATTTACGCGATTACAAAACCTACATTTCGATTTCAAATGTTAAATATCTTATTTAGATATAACTGAGGGTTTAAACAAAACAATATTCATTATTGCCACAGCGTATTAGCTATTTAAAAGAATTTACATGACATGTAACGTTTATATAAAAAAAACCTCAGACTAAAGAATTATACATACAGACGGAGTCCGGCAAAATAAATGTCAAAATCAAAATTAGTAGCGTGATTTGTAGTTTATTATACTATTCTTGTTTTTAAAAAAAGGGATATTTTATATACACATATATATATATATATATATATATATATATATATATATATATATATATATATATATATATATATATATTAGCTAAATCAATATAAAATTTTTGAGAATAAAATATGAACAATAATAACAGCATTTATTTACTTATCACTCAGTATACAAATTGTCATTTGTATGCTATTTTAAAATATTGTTTAATATTTTAAAATATTATTGTTTGGCTTCATGTTTAGTTCTGACACTGCCTATTGTAAGGTTGCATTTTTATATATTGAGTGTTTTAATAGAAAATAATATATTTGATTAATTTGTAATGATTTATGTATAAGGCTTGCAGCATTTACTTATGTGACCTTGGCCAATAGAAATGTGTTTTAAAAATAAAATAAAAAAAGGGCGCGGATATTCATTTGTTTTCCCGCGCTTTTGCACAGAGATGTCGGTACCACCCTGTAGGTCACTTCGAATTGTTTGTAATACTGAAAATTATGATTATAAATTATGTAACTCACTGACGATTATAAAAGTACTGAATATAAGAATATAAGCAAGAAATATCTCGAAGTTTTATTAGGGACCCTACACTATATTATTCTTTAGTCTGAGATATAAACTATACTACCTTACACAACGGTATACTGATAAACATATAAAATACATTTCGATTTAATTACAAAAACCATACCTACTTTATCACAATCGTACTCAAATTATTTACAGGATAATCTAAAACAATTTAAAAACTAATATAATTTAATTACACTTAAATACATTCACATCAATTGTTAAAATACATTTAGTAATACACAAGTGTTGTACCTAAGATACCAATTCAAGGAGGAATAGAAATAGGCTATTTGACTGATCTGAAAACCTTCTTTTATGCCCAGAAATATATAATAAAAAATACCCACTAAAAGTGGTCATTTTGAATACTTATATGTATTTCTTCCAAAATTATAATTATAATTAAAAAAAAAAGTAATTTAAATATGCCGCCGAAATCCTATTTTGCGCAACATGGTGTCAGTGACCTCACATTGAAGAATAAACAACTAAGTATTACGTTACATGTTGTATACTACGTGTTTTCGTACATTCAGCCAATTCAGACCATTTTTGAGCTTATCATAACACATAAAAATTAAATTTTTAGGGAGTTTTTAAAACCTCCAGCCTAAGCACTGTCAAATAGCCTATTGTCGAGTTAATGTTGGATTTGTCATAAATAAGTAGTCTCTTTAATATAGAAATTTTCTCATATTACACATTAATACCATATTGGGGCCATAAAGAAATAGACAAATAAACCAGAAATATTTAGCTCTAAAGACATAAAAATACGAGCGAGACAAACAAATGAAGCGGTGAGTAGTTGTCTCTTTCTAGAACTCTGATCGGTTTTTTAATTCACTCATTTCTCTATGTCTGTGAAGAAAGCTGTATGTCAATGGCGAAGTAATCTGTGCTCAACATGCCACGCTTTCAAGCCAATAACAAGAGAATTGAATTGAATTGTCAATTGAAATGGAGAAATGTCATTATTATTTTTTTAATTTCACCGATTATATTGGAAATGTCCAATTATTCTTATATAATATGAGTGATTGATAATATAATTATTATATGAAGAAAAATTCACGTTGTTCAACATAAAATAATTAAAAAAGATGATAGACGAAAGCAAATTTAGTTGTTAAAATAAATTATTTAACAACAAATTTAAAATTAATTTTTTTAATTATTAAACATTGAAATAAATGTTTATAGTAAAGTAAAAAGATAATAAATCGACTCGGTAACATTTAAATCAATAACTTGGAGTGTTTTATTATTTGAGATAAGTAAAGCTGTGACAATAACAATATTGCCATGTGCTTTACTCTCACAATATTAATTTTTTAAGCAAAATAATGCCTTAAAAAGTCGCTAAGACATTTTTTAGTAAGTCATTAATTAGCAATGAAACAAAATATAGCGATTATAATTAACTTAGGCACACAACACATGAATAGATAAAATTTAATTATAAATCATAAATGTTACTGGGATCTGATTTACTTATTTAATAAAATTAAAAAAAAACTAAAAAGACGTTTTTTTAGCACACGGAAGCAATTCTATTGGAAAGTCACTTGGTCTATCGAAAGAAATTTATATGAACCGACTACGATGTATTAACACTTATGTATAAAAAAAATTACCGTTAACACTACAAATGAAAAAATCACAATTAGACTGAAATATAATGTTCTCTTTAAAGCACTGTTTAGATATTAGTGTATTGGCTTAATATGTCACTTAGTCACAATTTATAACTTGGTGTGCTTCACCGTGTCAGTCCAGTAGTTCTGAATGGTCATAGCTTCAAGCGAATTCAAAAACGAATCGTTGTCCAAACTGTACATCTCCTCGGAGTTATCCTGGAAATGTTAAATATAATGGTTTCAGCATTGCCTTTGAATGTATATAGCTATTCTGTTACGAAATTACTCATCTTTATGTTAGGATACTGATTTATTCATGACTGTATAATATTTACATGATATGGTTGATTCCCTAAACAAACTTTCATCCCCCTTTTTACCCCCTTAAGAGATTATTTTCTGAATATAAATATTCTTTGTCCTTCCCAGGGTCTCAAACTATCTTCTTACCAAATTTCATCTAAATCGGTCCAGTAGTTTTTGAGTTTATTCTTTACAAACATACAAAAATACAAATCTTTCCTCTTTATAATAGTAGTGTAGATGTAGCGTTTGATATGTGACTGGAAATTCTATGGTTTTTTGAGTTATTTTTGATATTAAGACATGGACAAAAATAAATACTAAGAAATCTTGCAAATACTTATGTAATAAGTAAATAAACAAAAAACGTATAGACATACCCTGATAGTGCTATCATCGAGATATCCACTAGAATCGGGATTGGAGCATTTGTCATTCAAAGTTTGTGGCTTGTTCAAATACCTCCTGCGGTATAAAACAAACGCCGTGCTTCCGACCAGAGCTGCCAGGACGAGCGCCGCGAAGGAAATACCCGCTATCGCCCCCGTATCCATTCCGCCGCTATCTATTATCCTTCTAGAAGATTCCACATTTGGAGGAATTCTTGTTTGTAGAAACGTCGTCTCTAAGGACAGCGGTTTCTCGGTAACAATACGACTCTCTGAAACGCCTTCTAAGCTGAGATCCTCCTTGATGAATTCAGGTCTCGTCAAATTACGTTTTTTTGATATAAACGTCGAGTTTTGAGTTTCTGTCACATTAGTGTAGTCAGTTATATTAGTTTCTGGAAGTGCTATTATTGAGACATTATCTGTAGGGTTAACTGGCGTCCACTCTATAGGTTGGGATAGCGTTGAATTTGCCGATGTGGAATTACTTTCAGTCGCGTTTACTATTTTAGGTAGTTCAATGTCTACTTGTAATGTTACGTCAGCGGGGAGAGGTCTTGCAGTTACGAGCGGTGTTTTGGTAAAATACATAGCTCTCGCTTGTCTCTCTGCGAATTGCTTGTCAACTTCTACGTCTGTGGGAGCATGCTGCATTTCCTCTGACTGGGGCGCGGCGAGGCTTCTTCCGGTGCTCTCTGAAAATGTGAGATTAAGAATTTAACGGCCATATAATATGAATTTTACCTATATAAAAATAAATTTTATAACAAAATCAAAAATATATTTATCAGTAGTAATTAAATTAATATAATCATTTGTAATAGTATAGTTGGCTATTTGTAGAATAAAATATTTACAAAATTTATAAAATAAATATAAATATAATAAATATTAGATTTTTTGGGCTCTTGTGTTTTCTCATTTTAAATAACATGCTTTTATAAATAATAAATAGCACGAGGGTTCAACTTATCCAACGGATGACCATCCATCCACTTAAATGCCTAAGAGGGCTAAAAGAACAAACAATATGCAAATTAAATTGACTTTATTTATGTATTAAATTTGTACAGAGAAAAGTTCAAAAATTCCTTTTTATGTAAAATATGCTGCGTGTTTTACTTAATCTTTTAAATAAATAAACAGCATTCAAGTTATATTAATACACTTAAAATATATTATGATATATCTCCTTAAATAGTAGCTTATTTTAACACAAAGAATTTTAGAATTTATTAAGATAGAGGGGACAGATATCTGAACCAAAACATTGAATTCTAAAATCACTGTAAAGGTGATTATACACACACACAGGTGGGGAATATTTGTGTGAAATTTGTATGGAACCATACTTGACACATAATTAAATCAAATCAATAATAAATACAGATTACATTTAACAAAAATGGCGTAATATTAATAAAAACCTACACTCGTATTGAGTAGGCAGTAAATGTTATATCCTCCTCGTCGGTCGGTCAGAAATAACAAAAATCATGTTAAAGGAAAATATACTCCTACATAATAATTTATCCATCTACGTTGTTTTGTACATACTAATTTTCATATGTTCGTTCGTTACAGGAAGTTCCTAATTACCAAACGTCGCATTTAAAGTTTCAGTACTTGTCATTGACAAACAAACGGATATACACGTAATTGTCGTTATCTGCCGCTAAAGTAGATTATAGCGGTTATTTTTTTCACAGCCTTCGAACAGCCTTGTTTATTGCAAAAAGGAAAGGCAACGCGATAAATCACTGGAATACAAATTGGTATTGTGAAACAATTTACTGTATAAATATAGGTTAAATTTATTTTAACCTAAGTTTTATAACTACAAGATTTTTTTGTACCTAAAATTTGTAATCTCTACTGCAAGGAAAGCTTCAAATAATTAATTAATAACATAAAATAATTCAAGTAATTAATAAAAATTAAAGCAGTTAGTCAAATATCCTATGAAAAGGCATAGACGTTGAGAGTTGAGACGCACCTATTTTACATAGATTTATAAACTTGCTATACAAAAAGACATACTGAATATTCTTCATGGTTTATTACTAACAGTATCGTACGGACAAAAGCACGTATCGGGACATCAGTAATATACCTATAAGGACAAAAGAAAAATAGGAATAGCGTATGAAAAGTATCATGCTCTTCACATTCTTATAAGTTTTAAAGATTTAAATCGTAGTACGTATAATATTTAAAAAATAGCGAGTATTTATGACTTAAGTTAAACTAAAACCAAACTCATCTCTCCCGTGACCATGATTTCTGTTAAGCATTCGAAATGTCGGTAACTGAAAATCAAAATAAATCCGAAAAAAAATCGGTAAAAGATAGTTAGTTTTATTTCAAATTCGAACAACAATAACTTAACGCCAAACTAGAATAAGTGATAGCAGTGCCAGTTAAATTAACCATCTCAAACTCTGTTATTTCCTTTGGACGACGAATATTGTATTTACTTGCGCATTTATCGAGAGGATTTTAATATTTACCCCAATTTCAATAGCCATTAACGTTTTTCGAGAATATTTTATCGACCAATTATTGGGTACGTGAAGAGCTTTGGGAGGGTATTTTAGTAAGTAAATACTTCAACCCTTACAAATACTCGGATAAGCCACACCCACACCCAAGGTCGAACAATTAGTTTGCGTGCAAATAATTAAGTTAAGCCCAAACAAGCCGTACCAACATTTAGTTCGTGTATTTACTTTACTGTGTAAAACAGCTGTCAATACATTTAGAGGACTCATTGTTTATTCGGGACTATGTCACTATGTTATTAAGAATATTTTGTTAATTATATCTTGATTAATTAGTGAATTAAATAATATTAAAGGTTATCAGGGTTTCGTATCTAAATAGGAAAAAAATATGAAAAAAATAACAGTTATAGGATCACTGGGTTGTCCGTCTATACACATTTAGTATATATAAAGAATTAGATAAAAGATGTATGTACGTAGTAATAAAATTGATGCTAATTTTGAAGATAAAGCAAGAAAATAACAAATATAACTTCAAATACACCGCATAATATAAACTAAATTTTTAATACTGCCTGAAGGCAAATTAGGTTAATCTAGCTGCCTATCAATCCTGATTCGAATGTCAGTTCAAATTGCACACCGCGTGGTTTAGATATTGACCAACTGTTGTGCAAATTTTGTACCTATTTAGTGGTTTGAAATATCAAAATAAAACAACGATCTAAATATTTATTTAAAAGTTACATATAGAGACAACAGGATAACAGGAAAATTAGTATGTAGAGCACACGGACGGACACGTAATTGACCGGTAAATACATAGAATATAATATAAGCACTAACAAGTACTAGGTCACCCAAATAAGTGACCACTCAGACTAAGGCGTTATATAGACAGACTGTCATAGACTAAACACAGTACAAATATTACAAAGAGTAATTTGTGATAAGTAAATAAATTATAAATGTTAATAAATAAAAATTGCTATTGATTAAATATAATTAGTAATAAATAAAAATAATGAGTACTTATTATTAATTGTTTCAATTATTTATATTTCTTTCTTATTCGTAAAAATTAAATTCAATGACTGATACCTACATATAAAAAAATATCTTATTTCTTGAAGAAAGCAAACGAATGTATAGTAAAATCGAGAATAGTAGCATAAACAGCAAAACCACGCTACTAATTTTTATTTTGACATGTTTTACGTTGGCTCCGTCTATAGAATTCTTTAGTCTAAGGTGACCAATGCCCTCGAGTATCGCGAGAGACCCGATTGTTAATAAGGCAGGTATCCCAGTTAAGCGAGACCTACACTCTCGATTGTATTATTAATATTTCATACTCATAGAGTGGAGAAATTGAATGTAATAATCTGACAAGGAAGAAATCAGCCAAGCGTCTTGGGAGTTCTTCCCATGAATACAAATGTTTCATATTTAAACCTTATCATTATAAACTTTTACGATCACATAAATAAATATCGATATCGATAAAAACTTAATACATTTTAGATTTTATTCTATTTTAATTAAACATGGTCTATTTTAATTATTATATATATTTAATATATATATATATATATATATATATATATATATATATATATATATATATATATATATATATATATATATATATATATATATAATACATGCCACTTAGTTACTTTTTTCGATGAACTCGATGAAAAATCAAGAGAGTATTAAAATTATTCATCAAAGTTATATTGAGTTTATAAATGTCGAAGTTCATTCATAATGCTTTGACAAAGGTTTGTCTAAGAACCTGTTGGTTGCCGATAAAAGGTACGTATTCGATATTGAGACGTCCTCCAAAACTTAATAATAGAATATTCCTTTTGTATGTACATTTATTTCTATGAAAATTTTAAGATATTTGTTATAATTTTCCTTCAATACTTGTAATAAGTTAAATTGTAGACTTCAGAAATCAGAAGTCATGAAGATAGCAGAGATCAAATATTATGATATCGTAGAGGTTCATCATTTTAGAAATTTAATTGGTCGTAACATAACCCCGCAATTCGAATAAGTTCTTTGGAAAAAGGTCAGCATAGACATTTCGTAAAGTAACTAATATTTTATAAATTAGGCTCTCAATAAACTTAAAAGGTTTTTTTTGTGCATAAATAATTATTTCAAGAGGTTGGTCCAACTAGAAAAACTCTATTTCAAGCAAGGGAGAAAATTTCAATTTACATGAAGAGAGTAATAACTACAGGCGAAACAGGTGAGTTCAATACGTGTGATTCCGTAGGGCACGTCTAGTATCTTATAATATGTAATTGTTAATTCTTTACGTCATAAAAGCTGGATGGATTTAAAAAAAAAACTTAAGCTACGATTGCTTGTATCCTCGATCATGTATTAAACACATAGGCTACTTTTTATTAACGTGTATTACGCGAGTAGAGCCACGGGACAAACTAGTGCTAATATATAATACTAAGACTAGGTATGTATTTAAAACAACTATTAAAAACCACGTTTACCCTTTGCGCATGTAATCTGCTTATGTTCAATCCTTTGCCGGAAGCCTTTCACGTAAAGAGGTTTATTTTGCACCTACGCACAATGCATTAGTCAAGGCTAATTATATTAAGCACTGACGTTTGGGTTTATTTTTTAATCGACTTTAAAAATAAGTACTTACTCATTTCGTTAATATTTTATGAGATTTATATGTTTTATTCTAATGAATATATTAAAGTTTAAGAGTTTAAAGAAATCAAAAATCCACACGTAATATTCATATTCAGTTAAAATTGTAAAAATAATTAATTATCAATGGGTAAGAGCTGCAAAAATTGTTCACTTATGTCATAGATAACTTCGCACTATTGACTTTACATTACTTTTTTACTCAAGTCAGTAAGATTATAAATATCTATAAATAATTTAAATGTAAAATATTGCGTTTTTGGCTAGAAATAAAATAAAATATCTTTCTGGATACATAAGTAAGAAAATTTTTGTCCATTTTAACATAACTTAAGTTAGCTCATTGTTTATATTTTTAAGCAGAATAATTAAATGATGATAAATAAAAATTTAAAAAAGAGTTATACACGTTTAATTGACGATAACATTATGTAGAAATAGATGGCATTTCAAACAATTAATATAGTTTGTATGTTTTATGTTACGGGTACCGTACGAGTAACTATAGTCACGTTTGTCTATCCGACCTTTAAATATCAAACTAATATAAACGCAAGCCAAGTGAAATCCGTATAAATGTTATAAATCTGAAAGTTTGTGAGTATGGATGTTTGTTACTCTTTCACGCCAGAACGGCCGAACGGATCTGGATAAAATTTAGCACAGAGATAAGATTGGAGTCTGCAATAATACATAGGCTACTTTTTATCCCGGACAAATGTACAGCTCCCGTGGGATAGGTTTGTTTTTGTTTTCCTAGAGGCGAACCCGAACGAAGCGAGGGTGAATCACTAGTCACCAATATTTCTAACTTCTAAATAATTCAATCATCAAAATTTCCATGCATTGCTTTGTACCCTGTTCAATCAATTAATTATTTATAAGGGTCGGAGAGGAGATTTTCAAAAATCCATCGCGCTGATTTCGCTATACAAGAAATTCTTATGCAAAATCTGTTGCTTCCAGAGTAGTTATTTTTAGCATTGCGTTACGCGTAGTCAATTTCCCTAATAAAAAAATAAAAAGCCTCTTACCTAAATAAAAAAAAATAAAAAAAGATATTATGTCAAGTTTAAACTGAATATTTTAATAATATTTTAAAGTATTATTAAAGGGTGTATTTACAAAAAAAAACTTTACTATAGGCAGCATACTATAGGCAGGTTAAGTGTACCTTTTTCTCCTCTTTAGTCAATTTCGATTTTCTTTACTTTAACAAGCTTTTGTGTTACCAAAAAAAAAAAAATTTGGAAGAACTTACTATTTCAATAATAATTCTGGTCGATTTTCGACCATCTAACGAACACTAGCACCTATAATTAATTGCCTTAATTAATACAACTACGAAAGGTACCTACGACATAGGTATATTTTAAAATTAACATGTACCGGTGTTAATGTTATTATATATCCGCGTGGGAAATGATCTGTAGATACCTTTAATACTATATATCTATATATAATTATTGCTATTCAATAATATTCTGTAAACCTAAACATGTCATCATCTTTCATTTACCACCGAAGTAATAAAACACTATTTATAAGCGCTGACTATTGAAATAATAAACACTGAGCGCAAAAACGGCTCCTATTATACGAGTAGTCTATTCATATCGAACTGCAGCGATAAAGCAGAATGTATATTGAAATAAGAAAATAAACATAATATAAAAAGACTGTTGCCTTCTAAATAAAATTCTTTAGAGAAAATTGGTAGTAGAAACGGTATCTTAGTAAATTATGTAAATAATTTCATTCTATTTTGAAAGAGATAATAATTTTGAAAATATATTAATCTTTAAAATATAAAGATTCTATTATGTACTAGCATTGCCCGCGGCTCCGCCCGCGTTCAGATGACCAAAAACCAAATTCTTAGGTTTTAAATATTAATATACATAAATAAATGTAGTTTTTGTATTTTTTCTCAGAAATGAGGTATTTTCCCGCGGTATAAAGTATCCTATATGTTGACCCGGATAACCAGTTATCATCATACTAAATTACATCGAAATCCCTCCAGTGGTTTTTCCGTGATGCGGTAACAGACAGACAGACAGACAAACATTCTAAAAGCTATAGATTCGGCCTCTGTATCGATAATAATGTTTATTTCAATAAGATTTTCCAAAAAATATTTATGTACAAATTCGGCTTAGTTACAATTTTACGACTATTATATATATAGATTTCTATATACTTTTTAATTTTCTATTGACGATGTCGATTGTAGAAAACCAAATTGTCCATGGAGGCTGGTTATATATCAAAATATAGATACAATTTTCACCGGCGCTGTTTATTTCAGTGTGTCTGATGAAATTATAAAACAGTACGTAATTACGTATAATGCTGTATTCGAAAGCGTGTTGATAATGATTGTTGATTTATCAAAACATATAATTGCCGTACGAAAAAAATATGTTGGTATGAGGATATGCAGGTACTTTATATAACTTTTACTGCACTATATATCTACCACGATGTAAATAAATAAAATGATCCAATGGATCTACGTAAATTTATGTGATACATCATTGAAATCCTTCCTCATCTCTATAAATATAATAAAATTGTAACTAAGCCGAATCTATACTATTGGAATATAGCCATAAACCAGAACATATTGTCTATTACACGTTATATTTATAATCTATGATACACTTAAACGTCTACTCTGCTTTGTCTTTGCCTCTCTCTCTCGTTCTCGTTGTAAACCGATGTCATGTACATTCTCGAATCTCAATATTGTAATAATTGTAATACTGTGATTAAAACACCTAATACAATAATATTGCTTTATTTCATCATATACATTAAATATTTTTTGGAATATCTTATTGAAATAGACATTAATATCGATACAGAGGGCCAATTTATAGTTTTTAGAATTTTTGTCTGTCTGTCTGTGACCGTATCACGTTAAAACCACTTGGACAGATTTTGATGTTTGGTATGATGATAGCTGGTTATCCGAGTCAACATATAGAATACTTTTTACCGCGGCAAAATATCTCATTTCTGAGCTAAACCTAAAACGTAACTAGGGACGAACCCGAGCGGAGCGAGGGTGTATCGCTACTTATTAATATAAAAATATGTTCTATAATCTAATCTAATTATCATAGTACATATGTATGTCCTTCTATAGATTTTTTGGTTAAAAATTTTAAGTAAGGCTAAATTAAATTTAAGGTTGAAGTGTACCTACGAGTTCATTTTTTTATTTTACTCGACACTTTTCTATTGTGAATCTGTTTTAACCATTCTTTTTTTAATAAAAAGGATGAACCTTCCAAAAAAAGTACTCCACTCCTAAAGATGGAATTTTCACTATTAAGGTGTTTTTCACTAATAAGGTATTATTGACGTTGAAGTCAATGTATTTTTTTATTTTTTAGTTTTTGGACAAAATATAATATGCATATATATTTTTCGACCAGAGTGCTACAGCGTACCTAGTTTATATTACAAAAAAATCTAAGGACGTATAAAAGAAAATTACCCCTAATATATTCATAGATAAATAAACTATGATACAGTAGTTCCAACATTTTTCCAACATAACATAGAGTAGTTTGTGCTCTTGGCAGAGATGGTTCGCCTCGATTTTAATACAAAGACACTATTTCTTTTGTGTAGCGACGACAAGGCTTTGGCGCAGATAATGAGGCTGGCATGAAGATCCATCACGACTAATTGCTTCACAGTACAATATGTTGAAACAATTTTGTGCGCCGACCGCGGTAATAACTAGTTAGCAAACGCCGGATGCACTTGTCAGTCTAGATTGTTTGGAAAAAATATAATTGATATATTGTGTTTGTGATTATTATTTTAAAACAAAAAAAGCGTTATAAATTAGGGATGGGCCTAAATTAGTTTTATAATAGGTTTAACCGAATTTCGGCAGCTTGAGCCGGAATTCGGCATTTGGCTGAAATTGAACTTAAGTTCGGCCAAATTTCGGCCGAATCTTTTATTCTCACCGCATGTTTGGCTGTGGATTGTGTTCGGTTCAAGCCACCTTCGGCCCATCTCTGTTAAAAATGTTTCTTACGTACGTACGGCCATAACAAATGAATAAATGTTAACTATGCGTGCTTGCAACATTTAACTTTACGTAACCATCAGTGAGCTCATATTAGCTATTAGTGATTAAATTCATATATTTCTATTTTATTTAATTCTAAAACCCTTTCACTGTCGATTTTAAGGTGCTATTAAATTATGTAATTTCTTACACATCTCTCTCTATTAAAAACCTAAGTCTGATATGATATCTAACCTTCAAAGCAACAAATTCAGGACGATATCATTAATGTTCTAAGAGCATAGACATGATGACAGTCTACAATAACCATCGCACATATATCTAATATGCCTACTGTCTGTTCTTTCATTTCGGTGTATAGTTAATACCTAGTCAACTTGTTTAAAGAATCTGTCTGAGTTGTAATTATTTATTAAAAATAAATTAAACATCTTTTACCTATAATGACGAAGAGCATTGTCACCCAGAACCAATGCATCCACCAGTGCAACGTCATGATGGCAGCGTGGTTACTCCTGCTCTTTCTGTCGACCTGGAAATAAAAAAAAAATAATGTCACTCATTCTTCACTCACAATCATTTCTGACATTTACATTTTTAATGCCTTTCACGAATAACTTACAAAGAGCTGGATCATTTTTAGTTATGTTATATTACCAATATTCAAGTCTCAGATTAAATTTCCGGGCCTTTGGGAACAGATGGATGTAATTTTTTGCATTAAAATAGTTTATTCGCATTTAAAACAGCAATGCGACTATATAATATATTTTATAGTTTATGTATACACATATATATATATATATATTAATATATATATTAATTTATATGATTCAAGCTATGAATACCCAAACTATATTAGCTGTAGATGATTAGTATAACACGGTTCGTTATTAGCGAGTCTCAACGCGGTACTAATTTGCTAATCGAATCTCCCGCTTTAATGAACCCGACCTCGTGTGCTGTAATTACTAAGCGATTAATACGATTAACATTTGAAATAGAAAATACAAAAAAATACAAAAATATATACATTATACAGCTAAAATATTTTATATTTACACAGATTATATAAAAAAAATGCTGTTTAAGTGAACATAGCATTATATATATATATATATATATTTGTGCAAAATTATTTTCAAGTACAAGATTTTACCCTTACGTATTTCAGAATAGCCAACAATTAAAAAAAAATATTTTTTTTAATAATGTATTTGTAAGGTTTTTTTTTAATGAAAGTTTTTAGTTCTTATTTTTAATTTTAAAATGTCAATTAAAACTCGCTTCTCATGTAGACAAAGATGTCGGCATTTTTTCTTTTGTTACCAACTATTTAGCAGTTTCGTTAGTGTGCGAAGTATAAGCTTTTACGTAACAAAGGATTTGTTAATTATTCCTACAGTAAAGCTTCCCTGGACTACTCTCGTTAACGTGTGAATGGCAAAAAGTTCTGCACACTGACAGGCCTTTATAATTGAGTTTCAAAAAAAAACTTGACGATTAAAAACATATTTGAAATAATTTTGCTTTTTTAGTGTTAAAAATTAAAATAAACTTAAGCTGCGTTAGACGAATGTACGTATTAATATTTCTTGTCATATTTTTTTTAGGTCTATACATATAATACCTAAAATTCTGAGTCAAATCTGTACATTAAATATTTTTTGGAAAATCTTATTGAAATAGACATTATTACCGATACAGACCGCGGGCAATGCTAGTTTTATTATATTAAAAAGGCAACAAACACAACTATCTATAGTCTAATTATACTAGAAAATATTTAATTTTATTGAGATTTGTATAAAAGTTGTCGCTACTATTATATCATATTACATTATTTGACTGAAATAATAATTTCAGCTCATTAAATCTAACAGACCCAACTCAAAAGCTACAACACTAACACCGACCTTATAGTTACATATTTAAATTAAAACACTTTTCCCACGAGCAAAATAATATTCAGTACTTCACCAAAATGAGTAACGTCAAATATTTTCGTATTAAACTCTGGGAAAATTAAAATTACGTTACGATTTATAAACCTTTCTTACAAATAAAAATAATTGCGTGTTTCAACACTATTTATAATAAAAGAAATATTTTCTATAGCTAACTAATATATAATTACTTTAGTATAATTATTATTTACTAGGGAAAAAAAGATAAATAACACACTATTGCTTAATTATTTTCCCTAAAGCGAATCGAATAATAATAAATAAAATATGTTGTGACTATAACACACAGCAACACCTATATAGTTCCATGGTAAGCTACGAAGCTTGTTTTATGAATACCAGATAGTTGATACACTAAATATATATAACTTAAAATACATACATATTATAAATATAAACCCTCATGACTGAAGAACAAACATCCGTGCTCATCACACAAATGAAGGACCAAGGGGACTCGAATCCGCGACAGCTGGCACATCAAGTAGGGTCACTACAAATTGAGCCAAACGTGTCGTCAATACATATATGTGTAATTGCTATACTATTATCAATTTCTCCCAAATTTACATCGTTTTAGAATACATAATATAAGGTTGTATTCATATGAGTTTTCTCATCTACAATGTTAAAATTTTTGGGAAATTTCATTAAGACAGGAATCCTTTGCAGGTAATATATTTTCAACTCTAATTTAGAAACATGTCAAGCTGAGTGTAGATTTAACATGTTTCTTTGTTAATTTGCTTAAAACCTTCCTTCCTTGTGTAATAAAGAACGTACTTAAGTCCTGAAAACGCGAAGAGATATTAAATTTTACCGTACTTTGAAACTTTAAGTCTTCCAAATTACATTTTTCTTATATACGGATGTTATTGTTAGTGAATTCTAGTAGCAACTGGCACACGTTTAAGAATAGTCAACAGTTACACTCAAAACCATAAACTATGTCACCTGAAACGCCAAAGAATGTTTTCATTTAAGCGACTTATATCGTCGATTGTTAAACATAAAAGTGAAGTGTAAACGAATGCACTGTAACGGGCTAATTTCATTTACAATTGCTAAAAATACCGCTAATATTATAAATGTGATATTTGTGAATATATGTATAATACTTTGTTTGATTTATGCGAATATTTGACATCTATACATACTCGTATAATAAAATTGTAACTTAGCCGAATCTGTACATTAAATATTTTTTTGGAAAATATTATTGGAATAGTCATTATTATCGAAACAGAGGCCGAATCTATGGTATCCAGAATTTTTGTCTGTCTGTCTGTGACCGCATCACGGAAAAACCACTGAAGGGATTTTAAAATATTTTACAATATTTCATCTCTGAGAAATCTATACTAAACGTAAACGTAAGTAGGGACGAACCTGAGAGAAGCGAGGTAAGTCGTTATTCTATACTAATATTATAAAGAGTTAAAGTTTGTGAGTTGATGAGGTTGTAGGGGGTAATATCTGGATCTACTGAACCGATTTAGATGAAATTTGGTAAGAAGATAGTTTGAGACCCTGGGAAGGACATAGAATACTTTTTATCCCGGAAATCATCCCTTAATGGGATGTAAATGGGAATGAAAGTTTTTATTGAGGAGCAACCTATATTTAAATAAAACTATCCTTTATAATTTTTTGGCGGATTTATTTTGATTTTTGATTCTCGACATTTAGAATGCTTTACAGAAATCATGGTAATGGGAAAGACTAAGGTCTTAGATGTCTCAAAAGCATGATATAGTTGTTATAGACAACCTACCTACAAAATAACATAATGTATTAAAAAAATTAAAAATGGCACCAAAGTACCGTACAATATTTGTTAATTTGAATTTTAAACAGTTTTTTAATAGTTATTTATATTATTTGGTGAGTGTGTGTTTGTTATTTTTTAACACTGTAACAGGTTAAATTACTCAAATAATAAAATAGCGCTCGAAAAGAAAGTCCTGCAATAACACACATTTAAGTTTACTTTTCATTGGCGTATCTACCACGCGAGCGGAGCTCTGGGCAAAAACTTGAGTTAATAAAACCCGGAAGATAACTATAATTCGACTGTCTCTGGCAAGTAGAAAATTGAAATTAAAAATGGTGCACAAATATATACATATCTTACTTTAAATTTACGTACCATAATTTAATTTAAAGTTACATATTTGATTTTCATATCTATTTCTTGATGAACTCGCAGACAGCAAACATTTTAAGTCGCAAACACAAGACGCGAGGAAGGCGAGAAGGAAGGCAACGTACGCCGTACATCAGGCCAACGTCCTTAATGCCCTGAGACGTTAAACACTCATTTGCCATCACCAGTTGCTCGTGAATTCGAGCTTCATGGACGTTAATTTGGGAGTAAGCTGCGGAAAATTACGATTTTCCAGCGCTTCATGGGCTCCATGGCTTACACTTCAGTGTTAAATAATCCGTAATAATTCTTTGAATAAACGTTTCACGCTAACTTATATTAAACTAGTTGTTGCCTGCAGCTTTGCTCGCACGATGGGAAAGGTCGCATATGTTCGTTCTCATGTTGATAAGGTATAATCTATGCCAATTTTAATCAAAATCTGTAGCTGATTATGAGTGAAAAATAACAAACAGACAGTCTCATATATTACAATTTAAATATACACTTTTGTGTTCATATTATTATTGCACTACACTTGTTACTAATACTTTACATAAATGATGATTTGTACGTCTATATAAAAGCAAAAGTCACGCAGTAACATCAAAGCTTGGTAACAACCATAACTAATAAGGAATGAGATAAATTACTTTCTTCTTATGCATGGGTATTAATTGCCATACACGGCAACGATTAAAGGATAACAAGCGTTTTGCGATTGACTTAGGTGTCACAATACCATGTATATAATGTAAGACTAAAAAGCCATTAATTTTTTGGGTGCGCGTGATTCGCTTCGATCCACATGAGGAGCATTACACTTTGAATAGGGTTGTCAGATGGGAGAAGTTTTGTAGAGCACAATCAATGAATTGTAATACAATAAAAATCTACTCACACATAATATAGTACATAATCCACAGAAATTATGTTAGATTATTTTTAGGTATTCTTATTAATATAATAATTTCAGAACGATTTATTTCGCGTTCTATCGTTCTTTTACTTTTAATCGGCCCTTTTTTGAACGTCTCGCTTCTGGGCAAGGGCCTCCCTTCAATACGAGGGTAGATCAGACCATAGTCCACCACGCTAGCCAAGTGTGAGTTGGCAGTACTCACAACTTCTTAAGGCTTGCAAAAAATTTTTTTATGAACTCACGGCCATCTTATCTAATAACTAGTTTATCAATAATATCAGTTCTATTCAAATTGTAAGTAGCAATTTTAGTATGCAGAGGATGAAGAAGAAGAATCCCTGATTTTAGACAACCCTGATTTCATTGTTCACTCGTTCCGTATCGTTTGTACTAAACCTTACTGTTTTCTAAACGTTTTGTTAAGAGGGAAAGTATACTTTTTTATATCACGATAGCATTTCCATATCGCTTTCACTGATCGATAATTTTACTGAATTTATATAAATAAAATTAATTTGTTTAATAACAATTATGCAAATTTTTGCTAATTACACCGGTGAAGTGTTGTGCATTAACATGTTTGTTTTATTATTTACATAATA